ACTTAAAGGAAAGTAAGTTACTAGAAACAACAAAAATAGTCTTTCTTCTAGCCAGAACTGTGCTACTCATATTTTGTCAGTAAGTAGATAGCATATAAGAACTATCTCTAAATGACAAATGCCGAGTTTGTAGTGAGTGATAAACTCTAAGCCTGTTAGCAGGTAGCATATAAGAACTACCTCTAAATGACAGGTGCTGACTTATGGTCCCTCTTTTCATGTCTTATTTAGTTTGGCTAGTTGGTTTCTACTGTTTTTGTTGAAAAGTTTTTTCGGCAAAATTTGGTTCAAGTAATTGTCAGAAAAAGTTTGCTTTTTACTAAGTAATATAATATGTAACTCAAAAAAGACCAGAACAACTTAAATTGAAGATATAAAGATAATAGTTTTAAATTCTTGATACAAGCAAAGCAAATAATAGCTAAAAGAATACAGAATATTATTCTAAGACCAGTAAACATTACCACAAGACCCAAAAGTTCTTGAAACTTATACCAAGTCTTTTTATATACTCTTTTTTGCCTTTCAACCCAAGATTTTGGAAGTTTGGACAATTGTTGATTATTATTAGTAGATTAGCTTAGTAGTTTTGATTAGTTTTGGCCTAAAAAGTCTCAGTAACTACTTTCTTAATAATAAAATTAAAATTCTGTACTCTATTATATAGTAGTATAGTAAAAACTATATACTACGTGTAATAATAATATATTTATTTTTTTAATCTTGATAATCAAGAGAACAATCACATAATATTTTTCAATATGAACTTTCTTAATAGTATATTTTAAAATTAACTTAACAAGTTAATAATAGTCTATAATTATCTTTTTCAAAATGGTAAAATATAATGATTACCTTATATAATTATTATCTGATTAAATGAATTGTAAAATTATACAAATAAAATCAGAATATAGAATATACAAAATATATATTTTCCAAACTCAATATATATAATTTAAAATTTACAATTCATTATATGGAGGTGAGTTAATAAAAATCAAGCAATTTTTTATAATAAAATTTTTCATAACTTTAAACAAGAATAACTTAACAAAAACTTGACAAAATTTAATAAAAATTTTTTTAATTAATTTTTACAAACTTTCAGAATTAATTTAAAAAAATCTTTATTAAATTTAATTAAGTTTTGTTAAGTTATCCTTGTTTAAAGTTTTAAAAAAACTTATTAAAAAAAATTTGTTTGATTTCTATTGACTCAACTCTATATGTTAACCTTACTATAAGAAAGGTTGCTATAGAATGATGTTTGTAAATGAATTATATTCATAACCAAATTAACAAAAAATAATTCAAATAAAGTAATAAAAAGATTAAAATATATTTCTGATTTTTCATGATGTACTAATAGTATAGCCTGCTAGATGAGAAGAATATCTGTAAATTATTTCTCTGTAGCAATTGTTTGAACAGATAGAAATTGACTAAGTTATATGCTTTGCTCATATCCTGTGATAAGATCCAAAGTTGGTTAGAGTTGCATGCGGCATCTTCTTGAGAATATGTTTTGGGATGGAGGTAGAATTGTCAAGAAGTACAACATAGTTAAATGGGGATAGGATTGAGTACTTAAATAAGGTGTTGTTGAGGGCCTGGTGTTATTTTTTAAATATTTAAAGTTAATAACATTGATAAATCAAATGTAATTATTTGTGCACACCAAAAAGATAAATTGATGCTTAGAATATTAAATTCAAAGCAAATGCAATTTTATTAAATTTATGAAAATTTTATATGAAAATAAAAGTACTGTACAGCGTGGACCAAAGACTCCCTTTTATAATACCCCTCTTGATTTTTCAGAGGTCAAAGTGTAAAGTACCCCAGGTACTAAAGACAGATTAGTCGCACTTGGGAATGTAAAATACCCGGGTACTAAAGATGGATTAACTACTTAGAATATAAAAAACATTACTGCGGCACCTTAAGCTAACAATAGTATCCCTCCGACTATAATACCCATATACTGCTTAAATTGTAAAGTACCCTGGGTACTTTAGTCACGCTGTACGGTAATTTTATCTTGAGATAAGTACTTTTAAATTCTTTTATTGAGTATTTATTGATTATGTGAAAAGTTTAAGATAAATGTGAAAAACTCTTGCAATTTCACAAATTATTATAAAAAAACATCTATTTTTAGCTACACAACTTCATATAAATCCTTTAAATAATATAGATCCTCTAAATAAAACAGGCACAAAATATAAATTTGTATACAGTATAAATAAATGCTAGAAGCTTCTATTTTGATATAAGGTCATATAGTATAAAAAACTGCATAATAACTTTTCGCATTAATAAAATTTTGCTGAAATCTATAAACACCCGATTAGTCACTTTAAACATTTCAACACTTTGTTAATATAGCAAAAAGTGTTTGTTTTTTAAAGATAATTCATAAATCATTTGAAACGTTTGAATACTAGAAAAAAAGATTTGTTTCAAATATTTTATTATCAATACTTTTAATATGTAAATTGAAACCAAATTTTCACATCAAAGTTTTGAATTCATGACAAATCTTAACTAAAAATAATTATTAACAGGATATAGATGAAGTCTGCTCACAGGCTTAGTAAAAAATTATGCAAAAATTTTTATTTTATAATAAGAAAATTATAAATAATTTCGAGTTCGACTAGATTAATTCTAAAGATTGAAATTAAAAGATTTATCCTAATTGCCAGTTATTTGTAACAATCATATTTATTTCCTTTTCTATTATTGATAGCGTTTTAACCCTTTTTTATCTCATCATTTACATAGCTTTTTACCATAAGATGATTACTTTAATCAATCGCTTAATTAAGTAATACTTCAAAACATTGACAATACTATAGTTTAAAAAGGTCTTAGGTACTACCAAATACAAAAATATTAGCTATCGAAAAATTATTGACACAATATTATAGATGAAAATATTAATATTATGATTTTTATGTTTTTTTTAAATTTGTAGTTTAGTTATTAAAGTGTATAAAAATAAAATTATTCTACTTTTTTCTAGATAAAACTACAAATTATAAATCAAAGCATATCAATTTTATCATTATTTTTTAATCAACTAACATATTTAGAAAAATTAAATATTGTATAGCAAAATAAACTGGATCATATGATGATCATCTCATTGTTCAAATGTATATATTTTTGTTACACTAAATTACAAATAGTATGACTAGAGTTTATGTTATATGCCAAGAGATCTTCTGATGCTAGTAACCTCACACATCTATCTTGTTTTACCATTGACAACGACATCTGTATCTTATAGTTATATTGCCCTAAACTTTCGGAATTAATCCCATTTTTTAGCCTGATTAGGCTCGTATTTTGTATTCATTCACCGTCTACATCGGGAACTTTCGGTTCAATTAACTAATATTATATTTCTTATATTTAATTTATTGCGATAAGTTACCGTTAGTATTATTGAGCAAAAACTTAACCTATTCTTCAAAAGTTACTTAGAAAGTTTATGCACATGCGTATATTATTACACGTACACGCTCACTTATATAAAATAAATTTAAATATTATTGGCTCGCCACCTCTACACCATACCTGCGTTGGCGTGCCAGCTGGTGCACTAATTCGGTGCACTCATTGGCGTCGAGTACATTGCATCACCAACTCTAGTGTGGACAGACAAAAAATTTCCAATTTACGTTTTTGATATGATCTTCATAAAGTTTATGCAGACAAAATCATGTATGGTGTAAGAAATCTAAAACCACAATTACACCTTATAGAGACAAAAGTATAATTAATTACTTAAATTTATTGAAGTCAATTATTTAATTTTAATTTGTAACTTGATTATTTATAGGTTAAATATTATGCCAAGCAAATAAACAAACACATATTTCTTAAATTATCGACTTCAATAAAAATTATTACATATGTATGTACTTTATTGATGTTAATAATTTAGGATTTCTATTTTATAAGGTATAATTATGTTTTTTTTTATATTTCTTGCACAGTATATAAATTCGGGAAATTTAGGAAGAGATACATCAACAAAGTCACTATTTTTGGTCAAAATATACCAAAAATATAAATTTCATATTATTTTGCATGTACACTAAGAGCCCTCCGCTACGCCCTAGATAATGAAAAAACCATAAACATTTAGTTTTGCAGCGTTTACATAGATAGAACAATCGTCGTAGCACAAATTCCACGTTAACTCAGGGTCGATCAGTCAATAAAAGTATAAAATTTTAGATATTTTTAAAATTTTTACTTACTAGATCAAGAATATTATACATTTGATTCATCTTAATGATATGAATCTAATGATATAAAGTATTAAAATATTTGATCTTACCTACTAGATTATAAAATAACTTCTTAAATATTCTAATTATTTTTATAAAATGTAGGCTTTTGAAGCCTTTGCTTGCTACTTTGCTTATTTAATGTATTTAGTTGGTAGGCTTCAAAAAACCACAAAAAGTACAAAATTTTTTTTTTCAATTACAATGATCATTACCAAATTCGGTTTGTCTACCATGCTACTTTATGATCTCACAAGACTGCTTTGTGCTATCTCTTTTTTATAAACAATTCATGGTTTCTTTTTATAAATGTGGCTTTTTTTTTTTTTTTTGCGATAACTAAAAATGATGTATACCATTATTTATATGATTATTTTTTTCATTCTGGGAGAGCATCTCACCATAACAAATGCTCAAACTTATGACAATAACACTGTTTCATCAGAATATTCAGAAGGACAAGATATATCTTTAATGGAAATTATTCGTTCTGGAAATTTTAATTTTTGGGAATATTGGCAACATAATGTAGCAGAAGGCCTTATTATTATAACTGCTATCTGGAGTTATTTTATTACATTATGCTGTACTTGCGTAAATCGAAGCCTTAAGTTAGGAAAACTGATATTCAGTTTAAGTAATGCTATACTTGGCTGTTCTACTACCATTCTTTTGCTATCACATATACACAATAGTGATAAAGTCTTTTTCGATGTTTGTATTAGTGCTAATATTATAATATTTTTGGTTACATTTGCTGTAGTATATTTGATCTTAAATGATGAACGTGAAGTTTTAGCACTTAGTCTTATTACAGCACCGGCAATAGTAACATTGGTTGGTGTGCATCCTGATAAGGAAAAAGATAAAACAACACTTTCATTTTTTTGGTATTTGATGGTGACTAGTGATAATATCAATATAATGATGTGAAAAAGGGTTGGAATTGTGGCGATAATCAGAAATTTAATATTTCTAATAATTAGTCTTACCTATACAATAGCTCAAAATTTTACACTGTCAGGAACTGTAAAGATAATATACAGTGTAGTTTTCTTTGTGAAAGGTACTGTTACAATCAATATGGCAATAAGAAGAGATAGAAAAGAAAAAGAAAATTACGAAGTAGATAACAATAACACATTAACATGAAACCTTTCTATGAAACTCTATATTATTGCTATTTATTGCATAATTGTTTTCATATACACACATATATATTTATTCATTACTTGTATGTTATTTATTGAACGTTGTGAGAGGCGAATCTCACCTATATTATTATTATTATTAGATAGTGTCCGCCCCATTTCATTTTTTTTTTTAT